TTGTGAGCTGTTAAACCGCAGCAGTTGAGCTCTATAACATTGTCATTCTATTATCAAAGTACATTTTGTATCGTATCGATGACGTTTGCTTGCGTCAAACGGATCGAGAAGTTTATAATCTTCGATAAACGCGTTTAAATTTTTTCGATTTTTTTTTGTCTATACATAACGTTTTATAAAATTGTTAGGTATAATCCTTTAATTGATTGTAGTACATTTACAATATCGGGTATTTGTTAATGCAGCACAGAACGTCATTGTTAAGCGAAGTTAATGAAGTCCGGGCTATTGTAGCACGTGTAACGTTTTACATGAATTGCGTAAATACTTACAACGATTTGCATATTTCACATTTGCAAACGGGCTAATTCAATCGGGCACTCACCGATATTGGGGATCGCGAATGTATTTGCAAGTTCGATCGATACATTTAAAATATCAACGCCTGACCAATACGACGTCAAAATTACTTGCCACTTATATGGTATGTGTGCCTGGCATTTATTGGTTGAAGTACATGGGAAACAATATTTCACGTTATTGAATTTGTTTTGGTTAATTTATTGATGCATATTTATCATTTTTTTTATTGTCATGTAATAAATTTTGTGGAAGAACAACACGCTTTGTTTTACGTAATGTAAAGAAATTATTTCGAAATGATGTTTCGTATAAGTTAATTGTGTGGTAAATGAAATAACAAATAATTTTTCGGGCTGAGTAAAAATGAATCATACGATATGATAATACAAAAGGAAACTTCTATATTGTTTTAAGATTAGATTATAGATTGACTCGTAATCGTGGAAGCCTCGCCACGTTATATGAGGAAAACACGAAGGAGGATATCTCTTGTTGGTTAAGGAAATTCGTACGAAATGCGATTTTCGGAGAACTATTCTCGTTGCATTTCGGGTTATTTCCGGAGGAAGATTTCATAAGTCCTATATATTACCACACATTGTCATGACTATCGCATAGCAGCTAAATTAAAGACATTGATATTTGCATTTTCCTCGATATATATTTAATTTATTTAAAAATAATTTTTCTGTAATTTTTTATTTATATTCTCTACTTTTTAGTATACGTGTCGATAATTACGAATGTGCAGATCAGGATTATGCGTTTACGCGTAAAATATAAATAATACTACATTACGCGTAAACAATATAAACGTATATAGACGTAAACTATGTATAAAATGTCATCTATGTAAACTATAACCTATAGACCTATAGAAAGTTCATATTTAGTTAGGTTACAAATTAGAAATAGTGGAAATAATAATGTATAATTCTGCACATGTAAATACTTACAACGACTAATAATAAGCAATAGACATAATAGTCATAATATATAAATTCTTTAACAAACTTTAATAATAATGTGTTTTTTTTTAGCCGAACTTCTTGCACCGTCTATCTTTTTTCCTTTTTTTCTCCAATATAGAGAAAAAGAGAAAAGATAAACTCTGCAAAAAGATTAATTGAAAAGAACAAGTCATATATTAATATTTTTTATATTAACAATTTTAAATTTTAATCATTTTTTTATTTTTTTTATATTTTTTATATGAGACAGAGGTTTGTATAAATATCACGTAAACAAAAAATAGTGTAGAGATAATCTTGAAATTTATGACTTCCTGCAGACCTAAGTCAAATTTCTGTTTTGAAAAATCAAAATATTGTTATACATGAAAAGGAATCTTTATAATAATTTGATAAAATATATTTATACTCTTATTGTATTAATCTTTTTTAAATAACATGTTATATATGAATATCTTACACATAAAAATGTATACATTATATGAGCTTAATTTTCCTATGTTCATATGATTAATTATTTTCATAATTATTTTTATACATTGAAGTAATAAAATATACTAAGAAATCGTATATATATAATAGAAACAAGTTATTTGAAAGATAAAAAAAATATACATAAGGAATGTGTGTTGGAATGCAACCAGATTCTCTTCACGTTTCTCGTACGACTCTCATGAAATTTTTAGTGATCTCGCGTGTGCAGAATTATTTTCACAACCCATTCAGACGTTTCCTGTCTTCAGGTACGAACATAACGTACGATTCGGTATGAGTGTCGCCTAAAGGTGCCGGCAAAGGGTGGCGCGCAAATATCGGGGCGCGGTGGTGCTGCAGCCTGGGAGACGAAAGAGCTCTGCTCTGCCTGCACTCTCATTCTAGCAAGCATGCACTATCTATCTTCTTCTCTCTCCCTCTCGCCCTATCTCTCCACGTCGGCATCTATCGACCCACCCCCGGCGACGGCAGAGCTTCCACCGCCCCGGAAAGCTTCCCTTGGCGCGTACACGTCCGTCGATTCGGGCTTTTCCCTTCGCCCGCCAACGGTATACGTCGAAGAAGAAGGGTGTCGATCGTCGTCATGCGTCCTCCCAGGGCGGAGCGATGCTTCGTTCTTTTATGCGAGGGGGTGTCGAGGCATCCGCCGGAAGAACAACTTAACTAGAATTAAAATAATTTAATAGCCGCCTTACTTGAATTAATCGAAGAAATTCGAATACAGGATTTTCAATTGAGAATGTTCAAGTTAATTTGAATAAGTATTATCAACATTCGGATCGCTTCTAAATATTGAATTTTATATTGCAGCTTGAAATTACCTTTGTATTAAGATTTTATCAGTTTAGAATTAGAATTTGTCAGTGCAACAGAAAAATATGTGCAAAAGAGGACAATGTTCGTAAAAATTTATGTTTTGAGAAATTTAAATATTTCATGTATGAAAAAGATTCTTTATAATAATTTAGTAAAATAGTAAGAGTGAATATCTACATAAAAATATATGCATTAGGCTAGGTCCACAACCTTGCTTTAAGAGACCGTAAGCCGTAAGCTTTAAGTTGTAAATGACGATATATCGATCACAGAACTTATGCTTTTAGGCCGTAAGAATTGGATTTTGCTCAATTCGCTTAAGTCTAACGGTTAAAGCCTATAAGGACTGCGCAAAAACAGTTTAAAGACAGAAATTATTGTCACTTAGTCTCTTTCGATTTATGACTTAAGGTTTCTTAAAGCAAGGTTGTGGACCTAGCCTTATTTAATTTTCCTACGTTCATGCGATTAATTTTTTATCATTATTGTTATACTGAAGTAATAAAATGTACACTGATAAAAAAATTACTAAATTAATATTTATTTAATTATTTGAATAGTCAACTAAATATTTACTTACAGTAAATAAATATTTACTTAATAATATTTATTTAATTATTTGAATAGCTAACTAAATATTTACTAACAGTAAATAAATATTTACTTAATAAAAAGAAATGACAGCTAAATCAAATTAGTGGTTCTTGTACCAAATAAGTACCTATATCTTTATATTTAATATTATATTTAATATTTAGTTGGCACTATTCAAATAAATGATTTATTAAAATTTAGTATATTTTTTTTCATTCAGTGTACTAAGAAACGGTAGACAATATAGTGCAACCGTGTAAATAAGCGCGACGTTAATCTATTAATAGTTTGAGAAATGAAATTTTATTTATTCATAAAATGAAGTTTAAAAAATTGACAGTTCCGATAACGATTTAATTCCGAATTAATCCCGTACAATTCGAATCGATAATATTCGAACAGCTAAATCTTTTAAAATCAAATCGCAAGAACATTTGGTTATTTGAGTATCTAAATATACTACCCGGAATACAGGGCTGATTTACATAAATTTACATAGATATATTTCCCAGATTTAGCTCTCCAGCAGCCACAATGTTCCATGCATGGTATAGTAATAAGAAGAATTTGTCTTATTTTATAACGTGCGATACAACTGTACGTTATATTGCACACAGTTTTCATATTTCAATATAATTATTTTGAAAAAAAAAAAAAAAAATTATGAGCGCGTGGAATTAATTTCAATTGAGTTGTTTACTCATCTCCGCATATTTCTGATCAGTCATGTCCTTGATGATCTTACAAGATGTCTTTCGAATACATACTGGTCGAACTTGTCGAGCGGGGAAGAACGGACACTGTGGTATACCGCAATCATTCCTATAGCAACCTGTTTTCAGAAACGCGAGGCGGCAAGGATATGAGAAGAGACGTTTTTTTTTTTTTAAATTAATCATCGAACTTAAATATCATTTCTTGATTCTCGCATTGTAGATTTTTTTAAACATGTCGTAATTTGCAATTTCAATCGTCGTTTTTTAATTTTTTTTCTATCTTCTCGTTTCTTTTTACATCATTCCTCAAAGCTCTGTCATATCGGATAAATCTTTTGGAAGATTACAATTTTAGATTTTATATAAAAATTTGCAATATTTTTATATTACATATCTCTATTCGAATTTTAAAAGAATTGTTTTAAAACGTTAATTGCTAAAATCAGTGCTGGCTTGAATTCCACGGTTTTCATCACATCAAATGGTTTTCGAAAGCACGAAGGTCAGAAAAGGGAATTCGCAATGCATCTGTACTGCCAGCCGATCGGAGTTTCGATAAGCGAAGACAGCGTACTCTTCCACGGAAAATAATTTCATGGTGAGGTTGAGTTTCTCCTCTCCCTTCTCTTTCCCAGTTGAACGAGAGTTCTAGCTTTAGTTACATCGTTGAAGGAATACCGGAAGAGAGCCTGGGTTGTGCTTTCCGCCCACCATCGGTTCTCGTTCATTCATTAACCCGCTTCCTTCTTCTCGCTTTTCCTCTTGGCGTTAAAGAGTCAATCTTGATCGGGATCCCGCGAAATCGCTGCCAACGCCATCCGATGTCTCTACACAATCAGAGAATGTTGTCGCGAGCTAATATTAACCCGTTAATACTCGCGCTGCGAGCACACGTCGCGTGAAACTAAAATAGCGTTTATACAGAACGATCTTGAAATCCATCGACGAATGAAAAGCGATTTCGTTTTTATAAACGTCGCAACAGTAACCTAGATCGGTAAGAAATAAGATTAAGTTTGTTAATGAAAAGATTAATTATCCTAACAACTTGATGTTTATTCTAATCTTTTTTTTTTTCTTTAAATTAAAGAGTAAAATAAAAAACAATAAGATTAAAAAGTTAACAAAATTAATTATTTTTTTAATTTGCTTGTATATATCTTTGATGTGAAAATACTATAAAAATTATAATATAACATAAAAGTAAATATATAAATATAAATAAAAAAAAGTAACTAGGAACATAAATAAAAAAATATAGATAAGAATTAAGAAATATAATTTTGTGTGTGTTACGATTATTATTAAAAGTAGAAAAATTAAGAAGGTAATAAAGAAAGTTTGCCACTTTCTGATCAATTTTCTGAGAATGCGACCGACAGGGAATTACCTCGTTTAATTAACTGTGCACATCTTAATTAACTGTACTGTGATTATAATAACTGAGCATAGCTCGCGAGAAAATTAGCGCACGATGCAGTCACCGGGGTGTAATCATCCCGTTGACATTGGCGATAGAGCCGTAACTCTACGAAGATATAGACTTCAAAGACAGTCTTAAGCACCTAAGCAAACAAGCACGACAAATGCTCTTCCTGTATCATATAATCGCGTTGTTGTTGCACGTGTGAGTTTCGTCATCGCACAATAACTAGCAAGGATTTAAGTGACTTATAATTTTATTCGACCATCAAAATAATTAAGTAGGACACCACTCAAACTGATTACTAGAATGTCAAAACTTTATGTAACATTGCTCATCATGCTTGATATTTCTACGTAATTAATTTGATGTTTCAACAAAATTATTTTCAAATCTATATTTATATATAGCTAAATTTTCAGATACTTTAGCAAAAATTATTCTTTTCGTGCATTTAAACAGAGATTCTTCTTAAGAGATTGATATTCCCTCATAGATCTTAAGAAGACCCGACAGATCTAATCAGACTTTAATATAATTTCTAATTTAATTTCTAATTATCTAAAGTAGTAATTTCATAATTATCTTACGTGATGTATAATTTTCACTTAACATTCAAAGATCCCTTCATAAAAATTCGCTTTCAAATCAATATATATCCTGAATTTTATGCGATAAGTTAATGATTCTGATATCGTCCGATATCTAGAAAGATAATTGATAAACAAAAGAAAAATCTTACGGATTTCAATTAATGACTTTCCAATTTTTTAACGCAAAGTTTTTTTTCTTTCATCGTGACGCAAAGAATTACTCCCAATCATAAACAAAATATATCTATGCTCCCAATCAAGTGCAGAAGGACAGAGGGGATTGATTGAGATGCGTTTTTTCGATTGATAACACACGGCCGTCTTCATCGATAAAAGGCGTATCGCGTATGCCCGGTGGCCTTTTTGCATCCTCATTAAGGCGAAGAAAGGCGTGCTTGTGGGCGCGCGAAGCGTCTTTTCTTGGCGAGGCGCATAAAAAACTCTTTTCTCTGCACCCAGGGTGTCCCTCGCGTGCATGAAGATCGATTTAGGTTGCGCGCCCAACATTATTACGCAGTCGGAAAGTGTAGCAAATACTCCTTCCCTTATCTGACGAAATTGGGAGCGGTTCCTCGAAATATACCGATACCCGGAACGTGGCACTTCTCACTTCTTTATCATTTAATTTTAACGATAGATTTTTCGACGAAGCTGAAAATATTTCCAAGCTAGCTAGTTTCGACGAAACTATCGATCGAAACTGGTAAATATTTTACACTAAATATCTATCGATAATGAAAGCAGAAAGAGTTTCAGAAATTTGAGATTAAAAGTTTTAGCATCTCGGAGAAAAACGATGAGTTCATAATTTATGAAGTTCATTTTAGATGTGATTTTTGGAATTATTGGCTTTCATATCGTTCTATTTTATTGAATTCCTTCGACTCTAAAAACTCATTCAATTTTTAATGAACAGTTGAGTGTTTTTCACGTAATATAATTTATCATAACAATTTTTATAATTCATACAATGCAAGTAAAGTTTGCAATTTTTTTAAATGCACATTTATGACATTTCTCTCTTTCTGTCGATATAACTTTATGTATTTTATTATCCAGAAAGAATTAAATGCTTCAGTCTGGAGACTTTATTCAATTCTCAATTTATCTGTCAATTAGGATATTTTATGAGATAATTTATATGTATATATATTATATTATACCTATCAAGATATAATATTTTATGTTATATATTTATATTACTCCATGCACATCACGTGTATTGTTCAAAGCAGTTAAAAGGTCATTGTTACATCCATAATGTCAAATTATATCCAATTTATGTTATTTCTATAGTTATTTCTATAGGTCGCTATTGTTCCTACGCAATATATCGTTAATTTGACTAAAACAATAGAGTTAAACAATTAACTCAAGAAACTGCTTAAATTTTATTCAAATTTGGTTTATTATTTACTAATTATAAGTGCATTAATATGGACGATGTTTACTTTGAAACTAACTACAGAAATGGATTTGCATTTTGACATACGTATATAGAAGTTAAAAATAATTAAAGAAAATGTTATTTAAAACTCAAGGAATTAGATTGCCATTGCTTCTTTGATATCTAGCAATATACGCCTAATAAATGCATATATTATGTTATGTTTAAAAGTTACTGAGCAACGTCTCTCCGTCAATGTTCTATATTTCTGATGATTCATCTCGAAAGCCCGCAATAGATTTTTCTTCAAGCTTCAATTTTGAGGAAGAAAACCAAAAATCTCGAATGACACCCCTAATGCAAAGCGATATTATTACCCCGCCGTTAGGAGTGATATTCGTAAGGCTGAGAAAACTGCTGCACGTCACGCCGGCCGCGCGCGGTCGCGTTCATTCATGATTTCGTGAGGAAACGATGGTGGCGACGCGACACGCGCCACCTACACACTCGTCACCGTCGTCTCCACCGCCAGCAACCAACAGTAACAGCGCCAGCACCATCGCCGCCGCGCCGGCAGCAACCCCTCTCCCTCCACTTGCATCTAGCCGGCATAATCGCCCCGATTCCCAGAAGCGGACAATCTTCGCGCGACTCGCGAGGCGCAAAGTCATAAATGTGTCGAGCTAAAAGCTGATATCAGAATTTTTTTCGCAATTATAATATTTATATACATATATTATATGTAGAGGAAAAGGTGCAGATATTAGGGCATCTCTCCCATTTACATTTTATACAATAACTTGATTAATAATAAATATTTAAAATTTATAAACAATTACATTCGCCAAAGTGTTGTTCAATCGATTCTAGAACTCAAAGTTACGAAACATTTATTATTTAAGACACTGTTTATAAAAATAGGATTGGTAATATAACTTTCTACAAAAATAGATTTAAAAAATTGGTTTTGTTTAAAAAACAATGTTACAAAATAAAAAACAAAAAAATAAAATATCGCAGAATGTATGCAAATGTATATATGCACACATTCTTCTTCTACATGGAACTGCTCAGTACTAAAAATCTATAATATATGTAACATAAACTATAGCTTAATAATAGAGCTACAATCGATTTATGAAATAATTTTGATATGAAAATCTCGAAAAAGAGGTCAGCAATCAACACGCATAGGTCACATTAGCAAAATGCCATGCTATTGTTTAACTTATTCGCATGTGTACCAAGTAAAATGTTAAATAACAAACAACACACTCAAGTATGCAGGTATCAAGTACGTGTAATTAAATGTACCTTAATCTGCACTGTTAAATCTATAGTGTCAAATTTAATTTAACGTAAGCCCTCACTGCTCCTACTAAATATATCATTATTTTTTATCAAAACGATAGTTAAATTTGACACTATATAATATGAAATTGACACTGCATAGTAGTCAAATTTAACTATCGTTTTGGTAAAAAATAATGATATATTTAGTAGGAGCAGTGGCGACTCATGTTAAATTAAATTTGACACTATAAATTTAACAGTGTATATTAGCCGTAATATCATCTTCTCTTTTATATGTATAGTTGAACTTTTTAAATTTTACATGCGTGTAGATGTTGTTAATTTGCAATGTTTCGTTGTGTTATGCCGATTAAATGAAAATAATTAAGCCGACGGCACACGATGCTTGTTTTCTTGCTGGATTGTTAGTTTGATTAGACAGTGCAGTCAGCATTGTCAGCACCGCAGCCAATACGCTGGCAAAATTCTAATCCAGTTAGCAATCCAGCAGGAAAACAAACATCATGTGCCGCTGGCTTTAATCTTAATAATGAACAGTATATTATATTGTCAGATATCAAAGAAGTTATGGTAATGCATTCTTTTGAGTTAACACATTTTATTATTTTTAACTTACATTTGAATCAAAATGTAAATCAATTCATTTCTGTGACTAGTTTCAAAGTAAATAACGTTCATATTAATGTATATACTTAGTAAATAATAAACTAAATTCAAGTCGAATTTAATACATTTGCTTGAATTAAATTGTTTAACTCCATTATTTTATTTAAATTAATGTGTGTCATAGAAGAATGGCGACCTATAGAAGTAATTAAAAATAATTCAAATTGAGTATAATTTTACATAATAAGTTTAACAATGTGTCTTTATATTTTGGTATCATCTGTCTTAGAATTATTAATAATTTGAAAACGGCATTCATGCCTCATGACCGAAAAGTTAAATATCATATCTAAATAATTTGTTAATTATTTACTATAATTTAATCGCTAGAAATTTTGCTCTTCGTTATCTTATATAAAAGTTTTGAATACGTCCGGTCGAAAATCTTATTCCCTAAAAGAGAAAAACCGTTATTTATTTATTTACTTTGACAGCGAGCTAATAGAGACCGAAACTTTGTCACAGGAACCGGCGAGTCGGGCAAATCCACCTTCATTAAGCAGATGAGGATTATCCATGGCTCCGGCTACTCGGACGAGGACAAGAGGGGGTTTATTAAACTTGTGTACCAAAACATTTTTATGGCGATGCAGTCCATGATCCGGGCGATGGACCTCCTGAAGATCCAGTATGGCGATTCCTTGAATATAGTGCGTATCATTCACAATTTTATCGAT